AATGCAGCCTGATTCTTTTTTGCTGTGGTGATTCTGTGCCACAGAAGTTATCAATAGCCCTGTATCCTGAACACCTTCCTTCCTACCGCATTACTTGTACAAAATTGTACTTGTATGAGCAGGGCCATTGTTTTCAACTTGACTGCTTACAGGGATGTGCTCTCTGTAAACTTGGCCTAGTGAGACCAACTGCAATGTAAATGGAAAATTATTTTCTTGAATTCACTGCAAGTCTGAACTAGGCTTACAGTGGTACTATTTAGGCTCCCCCAGGCTGTTTGAAAATTTACTCTTCAAAAAGAAAGGCATAATCAATAAAAAGTGTTGTTTGTTGGTTTTGGTGTTTTTCTTGGTTTTGCATGAGGTTGTGAGTTTTTTAGTTTTTTTTTTCTGTTTCTATGTGGGGGAATGTCAATGTTGCTTAATAAAGTTGTTACTGACAAGAGCAGCTCTGATTTTAGTCTGATCCTGTTCTGAGGCTTGATTATCAAAGGCTGTTCCACTGCTCTGTGCTAATCACAGATCAGTTTGTGGCCCTGTGTGGTTTGTAGTCCAGTGCCCCACAACTCCATGTCACTACACCACTCCTGTTCCCTGTGTGTGGCTAAATATTGTAAGCAAAGGACCAAAATATCATAGTTTCAAAAAAATTCTGCCTCCAGTTTTAGGCTATTTTCTTATGGATTGTAACAAAAGACAGTAATTTTTAGTGTTCAGATGTTTGCAGTTCTTCATTCAATCTAAATTCAATAATTTATAGAATGCTACAGTTTAGCTAAGGCATTTTTTGGATGTAATAGCATATGGCACTGGTTTTCTTCCAGTTCTCTGAATATGTTTATTTTTCTAGGTTAAGGGCAATTCATTCAATCTAAAACTGTCTTTTTTTTTTTTTCTCTCTTTTTTTTTTTTTTTTTTTTTTTTTTTTTTTTTTAATTAGGGCTAGAGATGTTTTGCATGACATTGTAGCACTTCTTCCCCATTCTATTTTTGTTTTGCAAAGTGACATGCTGGGTTTGTGCTTGTATTTTGTAGTGTTTACCTTTGGTCGGCACTGTGTCAACGCAAAGCTTTAAAAACAATAAAATACTGACTTTGGGGGAACAGAAGGGCTGAAGGATTGACTGTGTATGTCTTTAATCTTAAAATTATAACAATAGTCTCATATACAGTTTATATTAGCACCCCTATCAGCACTGAGCCACCTTCTCCCAGAAAGTACATCTTCCATACCTCCTGAGTACATGAAACACTTCCCTCAAGAAAGCAATTTCCCTGCAGAATCAGTGAGCTTTGCCATCTCTTTGTCCTTCTTGAAAATGTCCTGTGCTTCTGGCCCTTTAATTTAATGTGAGACATTCCTGCACTCAGGCAGCAGAGACAGCTTATGGCAGAGACAAATCAGTATTATGAGAAACATGTAATGAGCCATACAGCCTGCAGAATTCTGGACAGAATAAAGGGGAGACTCTTAAAGACAGCTTTCTCAAAGTCATCTCATTAGCCTGGGAACCAGGGCTACGAGATAAGAGAATTCTTAATCAGAGATGGGAACTTGCTTCTTATGTTTATTGGAAGCTTGTTTTTCTAAAGGTTGTACAGTCTATTTTTCAAGGAGTCTGATAGCTAAGCTGCAGTAACCTGACCTGTCTTGAGTTTCTATCATTACTGCTTGCAGACTGTAAACTAAATCCCAAATGGTAGTTCCATACAACTAGGAATAACTGAAATTAACCAGAATTTATAGTAAGTTTGGATTCTGGAATCTTTGCATTAGTAATCCTCTGAAATGAAATTGTTTTCATACAGGTAGTGCAACCAGAACTGGGCAGGGAATCCTACTTCCCCCAAAAGCTTTTCTCCCATGACTATTTTGACATTAAATACAAAGTTGATGGAGGCTTAAGTCTCAGCTCCTGAGTAACAATTATATTTTTCCCCTCAAAAGTATGTTTTGGAACTAATAATTGAGATCACTGTATAAGGATAGGAACTATAATTTTGTGAGATTCCTTAAGTAATTGGAAAAAGCTTTTGTTCTGGAAAGAGGAAGTGTGTAGGTATGTAGGGGTGGGAGGGAGAGGGAAGGGTGCATAATAGTTCCCACTGTAGTACAAACTATGCAGGAACAGAGCTATCAGCAAAGTGGAAAATAGGAATCAGCTTTGCTTCTAAGGAAAACAACTCCCAGGAGGAAGCAAAAGTCCATATGTAATACCATAACTGCTGATGTGCTGTTACTTCCCACAACACAATGAAAATTCAGCTCATTTTGTTTCTTAAAGAGGCACCCATGAAATTATGGAAATTCTCATATATAGAATTTAGCACAGGGCATCTACTAATGTAATGAGTCACCAGCTGCAATGTGTATTTTCATCTGTTTTTCATCTGCAGAAGGGGAGATAACAGCAAAAGAAATCTCATGCAATATGAACTGAAGGGTTATTATAGCATTTTCTTAACCAGACCTCCTGCTCCAATACAGTCATCTAAGCCTATGACATGATAGAGAATCATCAGTGTAGAAGAGGTGACAGTTTCTGAGGGAAAATGTTAGCCTTACTTCAGTGTCTAGCTACCCTTATTGAACCTATGCTTATAGATCTATATTTATCTTGTTTGTTCAAAGCTTTGAAATCTGTGTCTCTTATTTAAGCCAGTAAAAAGGTGCTGTTGTTCATATCTTGCTTATGTTGAAGAGGCAGGAATAAATGTTCTCTTAGGGACCCTAGTGGGTGGACATGTGATGAAACTTCCTTTGACTCCTGTCCACCAAGGAAACTTATGCAGCAAAGTGGAGGTGCTGGTGTCCAGGAGCCATATGTGATGTGTGGCCAGGAAATGATGTGAACCTTTTGCCCCCAGAAATACCCCAAATGTAGTATTTCAAAATAGTTGCATTGGTAAGTATTTAAGGTTGTAGTTATGCTGCTGCTGTCACTCGTAGGAAGTAGGACAGCTGGGGTGACATGAGGTATGATCTCTGCTTTATGCCAGTAGGAGTTTTGTGAACATGAACTTACACTGGCAAAGCTGTTGCTGCTGTAATCTGTTCTGTGCATTATGGCTTAACTGTATTGGAATAATGCACATCCCTGTTACCGTCACAGTAGGAAAGCATTGGGGTATCCCTGCACTGGATTGCCTATACAATGAGCAAATGGCAGGCACGTTTCTGTATGAGACCCCAATTCTTATTTACTCGTGTTGCAACAGCTTCACAGTGGGGTCTGAGGCCCTTGCTTACAGGGTAAGGGAGAAATTTAAAATCCTGGAATATCAGGGTTTTGCACTTACAGCTCTCATCAGGAGGCTGCTGTCACAGCTGCTGGAACAGGTTGATGTCTGAAGTGCAGCCATGGAAAATATGTTAGTTGAACGCCCCCTAGCTGAAATAATTTTCAGAACATGGCTGAGACAAAGGTTTCCTGGGGATTTCAATATACAGCTGGGGGGAATTCCAGGTTCAAGCTACCTTGTGTGTTGGTTTCAGCTCAGCCAAGCAGTTACTCTAAGGAGTAATGGATACATTTTAGTTCATATACTGATCATTTTAGAAACGTGTCTTGCATTAAAAAGGCAATTTTCATTTTTTGTTCCTGTTAATTAAGTTGGTACAAATTTGGACATAAGAGGCTGTGCTTGCAAAACTCATCTGAAAGCTAGATTGGCATAGCTGTGTTCCTACTTAAGAGCCAAATTAAGCAATCCTACAAATTCAAGTGTCATAGAGCTGTGTGCTTTCTCTGGTGTCACAGATTGCACAGATACTCCTCAAAGCAAGAAAACTGCCTTTTAGTAAAGTGACTGAACTTCGAATAAGCCAATAGCTTTGGTCCATCTTCATTGAAATGGACATTTTAATATAGGGAAAGAAAAGAAGGAAAACCTCCTTATATGTAGTTAAGACTTAGACTTTTGTTCTATTATATACACAGGATGGCATTGATTCTACCTTTTCCTTGATCAGATTTCTCAGCATAGATCAATCCACAGGAATTTCTCACACTGTATACATTCAGGAGAAGTTTTGATGTATCCAGTTAATGAACGATTTCTCTTGCCTGTGTTCTCTCTATCTCTCCTTCTCTCTTTCTTTCCCTCTCTCTCTCCGTAAGTCTCATTTTTAATGTCATGTTAGAGGGAAATAAATGGCCAGTTTAAAAACTCCAAAGCTACACAAAATTAAATATTTCAGGCGATACACTTAACTCCTATTTGATTTTGGACAGGCTTAGCTGTGAGAATTTTTTTAACCATTAAAAAGTGTCACTCGGCTAAGAAGTGGGTGACAGGTTTTTGGTCGTACAGCCCTTCCTATACAATGCTGACATCCCTGCTTACACACAGAACAGAGTTTTTGAGGATGAAGTAGTATTGTAACAGTAGATTAGCCTGGTAGTTGCAAAAATCAAGCTATTGAAGATTAGAGATTTCCTTTCTGACATTATCAAATGAGGTTTTGTTGTCTTACAGTTTTCTATGCTTGTAAGAGTGCGTGAAAAGGTGAACTGTCACCACAAGCTGTCTTTGTATTATTCTTCCTCAAGCAGAGTATATAGAATTGAGCAGGAGTAATTGATAATAGACTACAGCAAATGCTGTCTTCAAGTTTACCACAAACATAACAAAACTATATTGAGTATGTCTCAACTGCTAATCAACTGCAGTTGTGAGAAAAAAATACTGACAGAGGTTCAGTATTTCCATCCCCTCCAATTAGTGTTGAGCAAAACCTGGTCTCCCTTGTATTTCAAAAAGCAAAAGGTAAGCTTTTAAGCAACTTGTAAAACAATATCCTCTTGGTATTCTGCAGAATGTGTAAAAGCAGCAAAAAGACACAACTCCTGTTTTTCCTTTGTTAATCTCTATTATTATCAGAGATCTCTTTTCTCAGGGCTACAACTGTAGTAGGCAAGTCCAAAAGCTGATGTTGTGTTTTTTTAAGGGCCCACATATTTTTTGCCTCTTCGAAGAAACCAAGACTGGGAAGACACATGATAGAGTACCTGAAAGCATAAGGTAATAGATCCTTTCCAGCTGTAGCTACCTGTAGCATTTTAATGGTTACAGGTGTATTTCCAAAAGTACAGGTTTTTTATTTTAAATGGAAATCAATGAGATCAAAAAGTGAAATTTGGAACTTACTTTTGCACAGTTATTTATGAAGTGTGATCAGAATATGTAGTCTCCTAATAAGACTACAATAACAAGGCATGGCAATCATCTGAAAAAATGCCTTTACTTTCTCACAGGGTTTTTTTTTGGTTTGCTTCTTTTTTGTGTGTTTGGGTTTTTTTCCTGTATTAATTAGTTTTTATTATAATTTGAAAAAGGACAAAATTACATTTCCTTCCTTCCTTCCTGTCTGCCTGTCTGCCTGCATGCCTGCCTCTCTTTTTGAATCATACTGATAATAGGCTGCTAAGTAGTAAGGAATTAATACATGTGTCAGGTCATCCATTTTAAAGCAGTTATCTAAAGCATGCTGCATATGAAAATTTCCAACGACTACACTGATATTTGTAGTTTTTGCATAAAGAATTGATGGGTGCATCTTTATATATATTTTGTGTATACTACTTTCAGTTAAGAAATGAATTTGCTGATAAAACACTTCAGAAGATTCTTAGACTTGAAAAATCAAGAAAAATATCTAACTTAGACAATAGTTTACATGCATTAGTCTTGCAAGTCTTGAATATGCCGAACTACAATGATTATGGTCAAACATTACTGAACTACCTACCTGCACTAAAATTAAACAAAGATGACCCAAAATATGAATTGCTATATTAATATTTCTGAACCGTTATTAACTAATTCCGCTACCACCAGTAATTAGTTACTGAGGCCTAAATTGAATACAATTGCTATTTTGTATCAAAGTAGCAACCCATTATAAAGGAACAGAGGAAATTAAAGTTTAAGCTGTATTAGTTTAGCATGTGTTTAAATCACGCTGCCAAGTTACTTCTGCGTTTAGCTAAATAGATAACTTTGGTCATGAAAGCTCAGCAAAAGAACTTCACTCAATACTTAAATACTTATAGTCATACAAGTTTGAGTCAGGATTTCGGCTTATCCCTGAAATTGACATTTTTACTACAAAGATCTTTGTTTGGATCCCAATTCTTTAAAAAATCTAGTTCTAGACCCTTCTGTAACAAAATATCAATATGAAGTCCTTCTGTTGCAGGCACTACAATAGCATGCTCCTATTACAAACAGATGGGTTATCTAAGACTAAGTGGCTCAACCATGAGGTTTTGTTGCCATTAGTGTGTAATCAATCAGGAAGGAGAACTATTTGGTGCTTGTCTAGTGCTTTAGTAATTCATTCGCTATAGATCCTTATTAGAACAGAAAATTACAGCTGTAGCAATGTCTTAGTTTCAAGAAACAGAAGCACCTTTTTCTTTCCCCTCTTTTCAAAATAAATGTTCCATGGTTATAGGTGAAGGACATGGACATTGGAAGAAAAGCTGGTAACTTATTAATTGCATTTTTAGCTATTGGGGAAGTTCCCTGCTCTATACAGTTGTGCTGGTTGCTTATTTAAGTTCTCTGTTCTACACTGATACAGGAGAAAGAACCAAGCCTGAGAATCAGTTACTGTTGGAAGTAATGACATGTGATGTTATGAAGGGTCACAGGAATTGCAGCATTTATTTCCTTTGCAGACTGTTTTGTGAAAAGGGAAAGGAAAAAAAAAATTAGAAATCTTGAAAAATCAGAAGTCAGAACTCATAGGGTTTCACATTATTTTCCTACAGAGCAAGAAAATTGGCCAGAATTTTTTACCACTGACATGTTATACTATGAATCTACAACTATTAAAGTTTAGTGCAAATTTAACTCAGCTCTGCAAGTGTGAACAGTGTTTGCATGGCAGAAGGAATGTTAAGAGTAGGCGTCTGCTAGAGTGTGCATGTCCTCTAATGAACCACTCTCAAGTGTGAGCTGAAGAAGAAAGAACATGCAGGCAGAATAGGTGTCTCTCAGAAGACAGGATTAAATGAGAGGTTTATGTCTCTGAGGTAGCTGCTCTGTGGCTATTTTCCTGCAATCACACTTGAACATTGAGATAACCGCAGAACTGTATTTCCATAGTGCATGTCTTGGCTTTCCCTCCTACTGCAGTCTATATTTCTAATGGGAAATACAGATCAGGCAAAGAGCTTCTGTAGATTTGAAGAAAGTTCCCTTGCTTGACCAAGGACTGAATGGCTGATAACATGCCAATGTTAGGCCAGACCTATGCTCTGTAATGCAAGATCACTAAAGCTGATGGACATGGTCCCATTTGCATAACACATGCAGAAGTTTGAGACTTCACTGTTCCTGGCTGTCAGTCTGCACCTTGCACTGATGTTGCCACCCCTGAGGCAAAGCTAACACAACAAGATAGGTGAGTTTGCATCTCCTTATATACTTTTCAGCCTGATGGATTAATGCAAATTCAGCTTCATTGTTCATGTAAATTAAGATGTCGGGTTTAGACTGACTTTTAGCCATTTAGAGAGAGGCAGGGACTTTTACCTTTCTGCTGTCCTCTCTTCAGGGAGCAGCTTGTTGCAGAGATAGATAACTTAAGAGCAGCAACACTGATTTGCACTAATAAACTTGTGGAGCCTTCTCTATGCAAGATGTACATTTGAATTATTTTCCTTAACTATTAATGGATCTTCAACGCATCTTCTCAAAATTAACAAGAGCAAATAATATTTTTGTAATATTCTTAAGGAACAGTTTTTTAGGAAACTCCTGGCTCTTTATGATTACTGGGATAACTGACCTTGGATTTATATCTAAAGCTATTAGAATTTTGACTATTTCCAATTACCACTTTAAGTGATAGTCAGAACAACATGCCTTGTATATTTAGCAAGTCTAGGTTTTTGGAAGCTGCTTGAGATTTGACCTTGCTTTTTAAATTACTCAGAATCATTTCACATATCTAATTAGTGTTCACTAATTCAACTCATCTCATTTGACATTAGTCCACTAAAGTAACTCAAGAAGTTTTGGCTATTGTTTTATATTCCTGTCAGTTCTACATGAATAAAGATTCAAAAAGAGAATTGGCCTAAATAGAAACTATAAACCAGTGAGTGAATCATGTGGTCTTTATAGCAATTTTACCTTGGCCAGCAAATTGTCATGTGTCACTTTTAAGTAAAAGAAACCCAGGAGGTAGAAAGGTCTGGAGGGAGAAAGGAAAAAAAAAAAAATTATGCTATGATTGTAGGAGACACCATTTAATCAGCTAGACCAGTTAATAACTCTTTCTGCCTTTTTTATTTGTCAAGGGCTCAATATTTTTTCAATATGAGGTCTGATTCAGTGTGCTTTAAATGGCAGTTTATAATTAATGGTACTTGAGCGTCTCTTATTTCAAAAATTCATACAACATTCTTGGTTACAATTTATACATGATTTTAAAGTATAATTAATGTTCAGCTTTACAAGATATATGCAAACAGATATGTAAATTTGGAAATAAATATGCAAACATATAAAATGTTGTTGAATTAAGTAGTCCTTAACATTTTTAATGAAATCAATATTTTATTCATATTTTGCACATGATTTTGACTACTTAGTGATTTGGTAGTTCTCAGACTTTTGTGGACCATGGCTGCAGATTGAGTCTCATGTGACTCATCTTTGTCTTCTACTCTCCTGAATCTCATACTTTCTTTATGGAAAACAGGAGCTAATCCAAACCCCTCTAAATTATTTGGATTGTCTTCAATTATGCTTTGTGAATATTTGGAATAGTGAACTTAACATGTTGCTGAAACAGTTGAAAATAATCTTTATAAAAACTTTCAGATTGAATCACATTAAAGGTTTGTCTAGCCCAATATCCTATTCCTAGAAGTAGCTAAATAAAAAGGGAAAAATATGAAAATATACATCAAGTATATCACCTAGGTGTTTTTTGAGCACACAGCCAACTGAGTCAAAAAATGCTTGTTTATATATATATATATATATATATATATGTGTGTGTGTGTGTGTGTGTGTGTGTGTGTGTGTGTGTGTTTGTGTGAATTCTATCTATCTTTCTATATGTATATATAAAAATGAGAAAAATACTGCAAACCTTTTTCACAGGAATGTAGACTGTTGGTTTGTATTTCACAGGAATATAGACTGTTGGTTTGTATAAGCAATGATCTATACATTTTACATAGGTCTTCTGAAAAAGTTGCCCTAAGGAAAGGGATTCCAAATTTCATTGAATTTCTAATTCCAGCTTTTGCAAGTTTTGAGCCAGTTGAAAACTTGGAATTTTCCTGATCTGAGTAATAGATATATTCTGGATGTATACATATATTCTGTACATATCTATATTCTGTCCCTGACAGTGTTGGTGACACACCAGTTTACCTGTGTCTTTTGAGTGGTAGAGATCCCAACCCCAAATACACTATTATTGGTGTGGTCTTACAAGTGATGACTTTCTCCTCCCTCAGTCTACTGATTATGGTGATATGGTCTACTGTTATGGTGTCCAGGATGATGAGTGCTGTCTTTACCAGATATAATGTGAGCTCACTGCTGCAAGCAAGGACATTGCCGCACCTGCCCCAGCCCCAAGAAATGGATCCTGGCAATCCCTGCAGCCCCTGAAGACTGGCATCGTCTCCTCAAGAGCTCATACAACGCAAATGATATCTGTGAAGGACATGTAGTTAAGATACCCATATAGACAAGGTATAAAGATGTGTGGAATTTTGTATTTAACTGATAAGACAGGAAAATCCTCAGGGGTCCTGAGAGAAAATCAGGGTTTTGGATGTAGTTGTTAGTAAATAACTAGATAGTAGTACTGGGAGACTGATGGGTGCTTCACAATTGACACAGACTGAACTAGAAAGTCATAAAGTATTGGTACTTAAACTACAACCTTTATAGTGTAATAAGATAATGCATGCTGAGGAGAGGCACCAGGAGCAGTTGAAAGGTTTGGCTGTTATAAAGGCTGAAGGCTGAAATAATAGGCGAGCTGTGGAGGCAGGTTTCCATTCTGCCTTCATTTCCATCCAAAGCATGCTTTAAGGTTGCACATTGTTTAACTACTGAAAGAATTTCTGCAACTGGAAAAAAATTGGTAAAATTGGCTGTTTCTTCAGGCACCTAAAGTCCTGCATCTAGATTCTGCTGTTAGACAGCTTGGTTTGGACAATCATTGACTTAGAGTGAAGGAATTTGAATACCTGTGTGTACAAATGTAGAGTGGATGAGTATGGCATGTAAAATGGCATTCAAGTCACAATGCACCACAGAATGCAGGAGATGTGCTATATTCAACTTCCAGTCTCAGAAACTGAGTAAATGTTACATTTTAGACTTCATGTGCTACAGATCCCACAAGGTGGCTATCATTTGAAGAGTAAATATGGTTTCCTATCCTTTGTTTGCAAGATTACTAATCAAGAACATATTCCTCGGCTTGAATTCAGTTAAGGTTACTACACAAACTTGTTACAGACAAAAAGTCATGCCGAAATCTATGTTGTTGATCATATAAGAGTTTTGCGTTTTAATGAAGTTTTTAGATTTGGTCACTTACCTTTTATTTCAATACAACCTATGTTTCATTTATTTACATTGCTGCATAAGTAATGAAAATCATAATTATATTGCTAAAGAAACATCACTTAAAAATAGACATATAAATGCTGTTTTGATCATTGCAAACTGCTATTTGCGGTGCAGTGTTTTAGTTATGAGATGTAGAAAAATTTATCTGTCTTTGCAGGTGCATACTCAAAATGCTATTTCAGGGCAAGTAGTGCTATAGTATTTTTCTGAGATACATTGATTGATTTATTACTACAGGTATAGTGAGTGAAAATCAATACAGCTACTTCCCTGTACATCTGTGGTAGTTTCAAAGTTTTCAGAGTATGATTGACTGAAAGAAGTAAGAGCCTGGTATACTTAGCAAACCTGTGTTCAGAGCTGTGCAACACCCTCTGCCTTCATACCAAATAACATTGGTCTTTAAAAGACTATACCTGTGTACTTGGCTTATATATTTTTTATTCTCACAGCATACTTCAGTGCTGGGTTCTTACAAAATTTTGTTTCTATGCTGCATTTAATTTCAGCAGATTGCCCAATCCCCTCTTCTATTGTAACTGGTTTTGAACTGTCTCAAATTCACCAATGGCTTTATAACAATCTGAAAATTAACAATGGTCCCTTACTTGCACAAGGTTATGTGTTTCACAAATTCCTTACTTAACAGATACTTCTTTGCCCCTTACTTCCAGCCAGGCAGTCTTGTCTGCTTTTTAAACCAGTGTAAAGGCAGTAAAATGTGTATACATTGAAACTTTTTCTTCCTGGCACTCCATCACTTGGAAAGCAATCTGAGGCTTTTCCATAGGCTGATGTATTGGCAGTAACTTAAAAAAAAACCCCAAAATACAGAAACATGATTTTTGATTATGCTATAAATTGGGATTTTTTTTCTTCAGGCAGAAGGAAGGACATGCCAGCTGGACTTTATATGTTGGCTTTTAAAAAGCATTAGGAGCCAAAATTATAATTAGCTTACTCATATTGAAATATGTTCGCCCTAGCCATTTTATTTTTTTGCCAGAGCCTGATGCAATTCCTGAAAGATGCAATTTCCTTCAGCACAGAAATACGCATCATACTGTTGGCATTAAGCAACCACCTGTGCAGTGGCTGTTGCAGTGCTTGCAGGAGAAGGTGATGCATCTGCTCACTGGTGCATTTTGAGGGTGTCTGGCTTCAGGGTCTGGTTCAGAGGACTCACACTGGCTGGGACTGCTCAGTGCAACAACTGCAGGGATCTACGCTCCAGGCAGAGGGGGCATGAATTACCCACACTTGCAGGAAATGCTTTTTAGAAGCAAACTGGGTGAAAAGCAGGGCTAGTCTAGTGACAAATCATCAGTGCAAGAAAGTTGCTTGCATTTCAGAAGCACCTAGTTTTATGTATTATAAAGTAGTGCTTAGGAACCCATTGAGATCCAGGTGTCACTTATTCAAAATCACTATTGCACACTGTATGTAAGTGGTGGGAGTGAAGGACTGGTAGGCATAACTGAAAGAAACTTTATCAAGGAACTTTGACAGGAAACATGGACTACAGCACAGGATGCAGAGCTGAAAGACATAATGACATAATGGATACTTATTGGGATAACTAAAGTCTGTTGAGGTGGCCAGTGACAGTAAAGCCAATCTGGGAATGTTTTCATTCACCCCCCTCTGTCACTCTTCTGATTTTAGCATAGATGTGTCCACTGTGAGAACTGGTCCATAACTTCTGTAAATCACCAGAGTTGAGAAAAGGAATTGATAGTGGGGGTGACAGGATAGCAAATGAGATTTCATAACAAGTCAGACACAGCTCTGCAAGAATCCACATTCTCCTGTTTCACAGTTCAGTGCCATCCAATGGTTCATTTCAATTTGATCTGAAATTGCTACTAATTTTTCCCCACACTGTTTGGACTGTTCATTTGCAAGATGGATATTCAATCATGTTAGGAGTGGTAAAATTCTTTTCCCTGAAAGTTCTCTCAGATTCTGTGTTTGGTTGATTCCTTTTACCAGCATTTGTACTTTTTCTCTCTGTTGTGGGTGTTTTCCCATGAATGAGGAGGTTTCTCAAAATGAACCCATTTTAAAATTCCATATGAGATATTTATGATGGTTACACAGTTGCATATTTTGAATATTTTGCTTTATTTTGTATAGGAGACTCCTCTCCAACTTTCCATTTTACTATTTTCTTCACAAAGGAGTATCAAACTTTCTTTAAGAACATAGTTTAGTTTGGAAAACGACTCATAAACTTCTAGCGCTGGGGGAAAAATGAAGAGGGAGTGTTCCTAGTAGAAGATGGGAGAGCCTATTAGTCCGTGCGAGAGCTGTGCACCTTTGGCAGCTGAGATTTAGCCGGCTCAGCTCTTCCCCAGCTGCGGTTTAGCCGGCTCAGCTCTTCCCCAGCTGCGGCTTAGCCGGCCATTCCCGCGGCTGCGGCTGAGCCGGCTCTTGCGCTGCCGGGGCCGGGCGGAGGCAGCCGCCCTGGCGTTCGCAGCCTGTGCACTCACTGCCCGGTGGGGGCTCCAGGGCAAAAAGAGCCCTCCCCGCGCAGCAGCCGGGCACCCGCGGCACTCAAGAGCGTTTTAAAGAGTACTAAATAGGTTTCTTATTATTTCAGCATAAAACCCTATAGTATGTTCATGAATCGATCAACTGATTTTATGGACAGCCTCCCTTCAGATTGAATTCTCTAACTGGATTTGAAACTGATTCTTTGCAGACACAAGAAACACACGGAGAATCATATTCGTACAACCACAGATGAATTCAGGCATTTTGGAAGGAAAAAAAAAAAAAATCAAAGCTGGACTAGAAGAAACAGTTAAAAATTAATGGACCACTTACTTTAAAGTTTGAAAGCAAGCAGTTAACATTACTCTATGAGGCTGATAGTAATCCAGCAAGTTTTTTCCCAGTGCATGTGTCTGTCCTTGAAATGCTTTTTTTACGTCTATTGAAAGATTAGGAAAAGAAATCATGCTTATAATGTTTGAGTTGAAAAATTTCTGCTAATATTAGAAATATTTAAAGGGCAGTTGAATGCCGATTTGATTTGTTAATGAGCAGACATCCAATATCTTAGTTTTGCTTAGATTCCTGAATTCATGCAAATATCAGTTACCATCTCTAACTCTGCTTTTTTCACATAAGAAGAATGAATGCTGTTGAGTGTGGTACCACCAGATTACTGAACAGAATTAAATGTTTAGAATTAGATCTTCAGAAAGCAAGCATGAAGTTTTATTACTTGAAAATTACAGTAGTCTCCAAGGTGAAAATTGTAGGATTGTTATACAGTTTGTAACGTATAAAAAGTATTATTTTGATGGACCATTTTCTATGTTTTGAAATCAATGACATACAAATGATGGGGTTCATATGGGAAAGATGAACCCCATTCATATTTCATAGCAAATATGAATGGAGTAAAAACTTGAGACCTTTACTGCTTGAAAAAAGGGAGTACTCATACTTTCAAGCTTTATGTTCTGGAAATTATTAGTAGCTGAAATGAAGAATCTTAATTTTCCTATATGTTATACACTGACATACTTGTAAAGGTTGTATATTTTCTTTCTCTTTAAAGCTGGGTGTGTATTATAAAAGCAGTTGCTTTCCACACTTTTCATTGACTTATATCTTCATAACTTTTGTTTAAACTAGTTTTGCATCAAAATACATGATGACACCGTAATTCTCTCTGTTGTACATATTTTCATAAGACTGCATGTTGCCCACCTAATTCTGATTATACTTTCAAAAATGAATAGTGAGCAAAATGCTGGTGCAACAAATACCTGCTTTCTGCTTCTGGAGGAAACACGTATATTTGAGGAAAGGAAGAGAAGTTTTAGACCTGATTCAAGTACTTCCATGTAGTATAACAGTTCTGATATCTCTGTTTTGCTCTGTCCCTATGTATTTACTACAGAACAACAAATGTAAATGAAGATCAGTTTGTTTACATTTAATGTAAACATTTAATGTAAGTTCAATGCTAGGCCTTCTTGTTTTTATGTAAGTAAGACAATATATGTAAAGGAAATACATGGTTCTCTAGGACTGTTTGATCTGAATTGAGTTTGCTTTGAAAGTGTTATTTTGGAAATAAATTGGTAATAATGCAGTTATAATACCATTAAATTGTTATTGGAATTATTTTTGCTTTTTGAAATTAGTTGGCTTTGCTGTCTTTGCCTAGAGTACCTATAGTCCCAAGGCTACTCTTCCAGCTGAGGACATCTCTACTGCAGCACTTAATGAATGTTTGATGCACGGACTTACTTTTTGAAAATACATTTATCTTAGTGACTTGTTGTGGACCTCCAAGTAAAAAACACTGTCCTACTATAGTATTTCAAGAAGATAATCTGCAAACTCTGGCTGATGGTGACCATGCCATAGGAGCCAGCAGGAAGTCTGCTATGCTTTCTCATATATAGCGGGTTAACCATTAGCAGTTACCAAAAATAGCATTACATGTACATATACAGTGAAAAAGAAGCTAAAATATTTTGTGGGAAAAAACAATGTGAGAGTGGAACTGTGATACAAGAAGGGTAAAGCTATAAACACCCATACAGAAGTTCTCTGTATCATTTGATGGCATTAGTACAGAGAAATGGCTGTGTGGAATAACAAACTGTTATACCTCTGAACTTACTATTGAATAAAGAATCCTCAAAACCAAACAATGAGACCATGAATAAGCAGTGAGCTGCCAGCTGAAAAGAAGCAATGGAAAACTAGGAAGGGAGAGAAGAATGAAGAGGAGTTGATGCTGAAAAAACAGGTGCCAAAAAAAATCAGGGTTTGTCAGACTGGTAGGAGCAATAGTCTCTAGTTCTCATTAGCCCCATATACAGTGTATGTTGTCAGAGTCCTTTGGTCCTACGTTAATTTGTTAAATATTTTGATAAACAATTTAATCTTCCCACAAGATGTGCCAGTAGAGACAGAGAAGGGAGGAAGCAATGTCTAGGAGCAGTCATGTAACAAAGACACAAAATGCAACCAAGGGTTCTAAAAGTTTACTGAAACACATTTCTCATATAATGCAATGATCAGATCAACCATCAATTATTCCTCCTAGGACTTCTATCGATCACCAAAGAACATAAAGTTCTGAGTTCAGCCACTATTTATTACTAATATTATAGAGATACTAATATTATAGAGATAGTAAATGTACTTCATTCTTTTTATACAGCTGAACTGACATTGAGGAGAAACGGTGCAATTATCCAGCTGTACTGACACCATTAGGGAACTTGTTCTGGATCACAGGTAAGTCAGCTAAATATTTTGTCTTTGCATATTTGGGTATAGAGCCTGTGGCCAGCAGTTGGTATTTGGCATGCAACTGCCTACTTTATCCATTTTTATGCACCAACTAATTTCCTTGATGTAGGGATTTGGGGATGGTGAAATAATTTCATAAATTATAAGCAAAAAAAAATCTGTTTCATCTGCTTCATTCTGGATAGCCACTGCATAAAACCTGTCAAAAACATATTGCTTTGGGTTCATCCCTGATGCAGTTCCATTGATTACAGTGGAGTTAAATCAAAGATGAATCTGTCTGTTCAATTTAAATCCAATGATTGGTTAAAAAGTCGGGGGGAGAGCCCTGTCTAAATCCAGGGCAGTTTTATCCTTGTGTCAGCATTTAATTCCATTTGCATATAAGCCTATTTCCCTTCTCTAAATTTAATTTGTTAGAGCTTGGCCCTCAGCAACAACAGCAACAACAAAGTAATTGCATGCAGTATTGGGCAATGATGCCAACACAGCATGTGTTATGAAGGTGTCTCATGCAAATTTATAAAATGTAGCCATTAGTGACATTCTGCCTGGTAACAGGTATCTGGATACTTGAAAAACACTCTAAGCTTGAGCTTCATGGACATGTGACATCTAATAATGCACATATGAAGAAGCTTTTTAAAAATATCAGCTATTAATGGTGTCTGTTTCACCAAAGGAAATAAGATATCCATGTCTTGTATGACCAGCGGGAACATTCTAGAGTTTCATTGTGATGAGATAAAACTAACTGAGGCTTAGGTCTCAGACTGCACTAGATATTATCTGTGACTTTGCACAAGGTACTTTTGCAGTGTGACTTAGAAAGCTTGTTTTAAACTGGGGACGAGTGGTTGGCATTGTCATAATATACCTTGTTTGTTTAGCTGCTACATTCCACTGCAATACTGTGTTCTCATATCACCTAGCCTTGAAACACAGAGCCCGATCTTCACTGAGACCTTTCACCTGGCCATTTTTGAATAAAAAGACTCTTATTGTTGAACTTGACCTGATCATTCCAATTCAGCTGTTCTTCCAAAGGTAGTGGTACCTGCCTTAAGTTGATAGAATCCTTTATTCTCCTTTCCCGTATCCTAAATATTTGATTGCGCCCAAAGGGGAAACCCTCAAATCAAAATATTTTATAGGATTTGAGTTTTTCTTTCTGCCTTGAACTCCAGCTTTTTCATCATACATTATGATGCATTAAAACTAATCATGGTTATAGATTCTTATGTCTTGTCAATTTTGCACAACTTCATGATCTGTTGAGAAGAGGTCACTTCAGTTTCACCATTTGTGGAAAGAAGACACTGATACTAAGGAGTAAATATATTGACCTGGGACACTGTGCAATTTTATGCAAAGAACAAAGCCTGGAAGAGAGCCAGGTTTTCTGAATTGGGGCTGCATGATGTGGGACTAACTTACAGAGAGCAAAGAGATTTCTGTGTTTAGATAAATCAGGTTATTTCCTAATATATCAGATCTTTTTAATACAGACTGTTCCTCATGTGGCCAGGAAAGCTCACTATTACCTCTGTTACTTGCTCCCATTACCTCTTGATGCACTTGCAGCCTTTCCTCAGTAGGATTAGAAGGCACTCAGGACCTTTCAGGAGGCACTTACCACTTTACAGGATTAGGATAAGCCTACCTTTGATGTTTTTGTGATCATACCCATCTGTCATAACTGAACATGGTGAAGTAGGCTTTATTTTTATTTAATGTTCTAATTATGTTTAAAAGGTCAAACATAAAAATATTTTTTCTCAGTTTTCCTGCTTTTCTTTAAAAAATCAATGAGGATGTGTTGTTTTTCAATACATATGCTAACATTTGAAAAGTAAAAATGTCCCCATGTTAGAATCAGCAAATAAAGATGTGGTTTCACCTGATTTTAAGGTTTAGCACTTGTACTCTGTGTCACACTCCTTCCTCTTCTTCCATCCATATATTCATTACAAATGTCAGATAAGGCTAATCCTTCATGTGACATTACTACAGATGGTTACACTGGGGACTTAAACCAGATGCTGATAGTCTGGATAATCTGGATAAAAGCTGGTAACCTAAAACAAATCCATTTTGTGTATTACTCATGCTAATAGTTAAGATATATATAAAATCTTTATTACCCTTTAACACTTTGCATAACTCTTTTGCTTTCCTCTTTTTATAATTTCAAAGGTGTTATTTTAGAGAAGATTTTTCTTCATCTCTCACTGTCCTACCTCAGCTAAATCACACATGTATGTATGTGATAAGATTTAGGGAGGGGAGAGACACTTTCTGCATAAGAATGAACACTACATTTATCTTTTGTTTTAAAATTCCCATTGGGTTGAAAATTTGCCCTGGAAAGTAACTTTAATTTACTTTCATAAAAAGAGTTTTAATGAAAGCATTAACCGTACTTTTGACGAGTCTTTGAAATGCAGTGTTTAGGATGGGAGCTGATAAGGATGTCTTCTGCTGGGTGGCCCAGACCTCTGACTATACTTGAGTATTTGGAATCCATTTTTCTGTCTATTTAAGAATAGTGATATCCTATCTTAGATTATATTTACTCTGAATATTATGTATATGTTTATTCTTTCATTTAATAATGAGGTTTGTATTCTGAACTTGGAGACTCACAAAGACTTGTTAGTCCAGGAAGAAGTGTGTGTTAAGCAGCTAATTATTTACATGGGAAATTCTGTGACATAAACATACTGGATCCTTCCTTGCCCACCTATGACTACCACTGAATGCTGCCCATGGCTGGAGGAATTGGACAGGAAGATACTAGGTTATTGTTTGAAGCTTAGTGTAATACTATTTTGGGCTCTTTCAGCTGTATTACTTTTTATTTATTACTAGGTTTTGTTTCTAAGCTGGTCACTAGTCTGGAATATAGGAAAGTAAGTTTACCAAGCACCTGAGCTATGCAATTATTGTGTAGCTTTTCATCTGCTGCTTAGCACACTTGAGATTTAGATTAGGGTAAGCAACTTGAGCAGGTCCCCATACAGTAAATGATCTTGGGTCTAATCTGATCTCCCTTTAATCCAGTGAGCTATGAGGGCAGTGGTCTGGAGCATGGTTCATGGAGCATGGTTTCTGTGATTTGCTTCTAAGCTTGTTTTGCCCCTAGTGTGTACTACAGGAACAGGTAAAGAAGTCAAGGTGCCCAGTCAGCCAAAGCACATGTAGTACTGAGGTTTGAATATTGGGATTTAATACAGCCTTCTGTTGCTTGTCATAGTTCTCGGGTGGACAATTCTCATAGTCTTTAGCAGCATACCCAGTAGCTAGTAATGAATATCTCTCTCAAAGTCCTTACTGTTTCACTGATTCTAAAAGTGTATAGATCACACCATTGATTCATATCAAGACAGTTCTATTGAAATCAACAGAATTCATACAGCTTATACCAGTGGAGAACCTTGATCCTTCATCTATGGAATGATACAGCAGTGAAGAATACTGCTCACTGTGAGTAGAGTAATTCTCAACAAGTTGCTGAAATTGTTTAGAAGAGTAGCATTAGGCCTTAGAGCATACTGCAAGGATATATGCTGCAAACCCTCTACATCAGTGGAGATGAGTAAAGACTTATTTTTCAGATATTTTCTGTTGATAATATGTTCTTATTAAATACCATCATAATTGTTGTTCATTTTGGGGTCATAAACCTTTATAGTGGAAGAAAAGGTAAATACTTTGGTCTCAAAGGTTAGCCAGAGGAAGACAAATTATTGCAGAAGATGTGGAAAGGTGGAAAAGGTGAGTAATTACATGAACTATTGCAAGAAAGGAACCAAAATCTTACAATTACGTGTTTTGCAGCAAATGCAGTCTTGGTGGGCTGATACACATTGCACTATTATAATATACTATTATAATTAATAGTGGTGTTATTTTAGTGTTTGTGGTAGTCAAAGAGTGGAAGCAATAACTGGATCTAATTGATTGCAACATTTGACTAACTTTTAGCAATTTCTTTTTTAAGTGTAAATTTTTAAATTGTGACTTTAAACAGCAGCAATTCCTTGATGATTTATTTTAGAGTCTTACTGAAAGTATGAAAATAGAGTGGAGTTCTATTATTGACCATATAAATGTGGTTGAAAGATCTATGCACGGGCAGATATTTTGCTACCATCTGTTCCACCTTAGAGGAAATGCCCAATTCAGCAGAGCTATTTCTTTGCATGTTGTAGGCCTGGTAATTCCATTTCAGCACTATAAAGTCTGATTCATCAAGAATGAAATGTCACTTTCAGGAATGCTGTTTAGTGGAGTATGTATGTATGGAAATGATACTCTGGTATAGAGAGGGTCCTGGGTTATGTGTATTTTATGATCCACATAGCTCTAATTCATCTTTTGCTTTTGAAACATAACACATGTTTGAGCTTCACTGATATGGGTTCCTGTTTATTATAGTTAATGGATTATTCATCCTCTTTGTCCTTGACATAATCCTAAGTATGTGCATAAAACTCAGATCATGTTGCCCATAAAAACCAATCAGCCCAGAGTTCTTCTGCAAGGTGTTGAACATTCACCCAGAGCAGATGGCAAAGATAATGTTTAATAAAGAGTTAGAGGATTAGCTGGAACAAAAATAAGCTAAGAGAAAGGGATAATTTCATTTCATATGAAACTCCATGACATTTCATGTACCCAAGGACTGATTAAAATTATGCCAAAAGCTGCTCTTTTTGGCCAGTTTGTCCTAATACTGACCCTACTTATGTTGTCAGCTGCTGTATCTGCATGTGTTATTTTACCACTTTCTGAATAACTCAAAAGAAAGCTCTTCTGATTCTCCTGTGGCAGGCAAAAGTAATTCTTAATTAAACAGAAAGAGGAGAGATATAGGATTCTGCTAAATGTGATGAATATATTTAAGCAACTGATATCTCAACTGATGTTTAGAACAAAAGTTTTATAGGTAATTTTAAACATAAATTTTAAATGATAGTTTTCATAATACGTGGAGTTAAGCTTTGGTTTGCCTTGAATATTTGGATGCTGAATGGAAAACAGAGCAGGAAATAGTCCATAAATGATTTTCAGTCTTGTTTTAGGAGAATTTATTTTTGCTATCAAAAACATAGGGGAGTAACCAAACCTATAAATTTTGCATTTTGCATAACATTTGTAATGAATGTCCCGTTGTTCTTTAATAAGGCTTAATACTAGAAATTGTATAAAACAAATCAGGAACAAATATTTTACAGTTATGGTATTTCTGGGCCCATGGTTATCTGCTACATTCATAAATCAGAATGTCTGACAATGTATGTCAGGTATGGATGCTGCAGAAACATGTAAGTGGAATTTACTTGTAAATGTGGTGTCCTTTGTTCTGAACAGAAAATTTAAATTATTTGAAGCTGTTCTCATAAATAAACACATGTTCTTTTAAGAAGACGTTTTAGAATGGTTGGTGGGAGACAGAAGACAACTCTTTCTTTTAATTGTTAAGGCACAAGAGCAAAACAAGATCAAAATCCAAGCTATTAACTTACTTTACTGAGGCTCAGTGGTCACTGAAGCTTAAAACCAGATGTGAGCATCTCTGGACTCATGCCAGCTGAAGCTTAAAGCTCTGACCAGTCTTTAATGGTAGAGGACTTTTTGCTGCTTTGGTAATGCAAGAAGACAAAAGTATTCTAAAATCAAAATAATGGCTTTTGCACTGAAGTGGGCCAAAGCCAAAACCTTTGAAAGCCTCTTGATATTTGCTGACTTGGCTAATATTACTATCTAGTACTTCCAGAATTCAGCTGAAATCTTCTCAAAACCTGCTCTGCATTTTATAGCCATTTCCTGTCCTTAAGACAGCATTTGGCTCCCTAAAATAAAAACCCTACAGTTGTTTTCTGCTTCAGATTATTCCTAACTTAACTTATGCTCCTGTTGTTTCTCTAATTAGTTACTTTTGAAAATGTTCCATTGGGCACTTCAAACAGCTGAGTATATTTAAAATAGTCTGAATTAACATAAAAATAGCAAGGCACAGCTAAGAATGAACTGGAAATTAA